TTGATTTTTCCTCATAATTCAGTGGTTGACGAAGCAGGTCTGTGTCCTCGAGTCCCCTGTGGTCTGGTTGCTGCTCTTCCCCAAGCAGAGCCTCCAGCCCCTGCTCCTCTGCCCTCTGCTGCGGCCTGTGGCGTGGTGCTGGGTCTGGGGTCTGATGAGATTCAGGTTGGATTCTTTTCTTTTCGCATTTGAGGCTGGATCTTGATCACTAACTCCCTACTTCATGATAGAAAGGAATTGTTCGTTTTTTAGACATGATAATGGTGTTATGGTCATGGTTTATGTTTTACGGATTTATGTAGGAAAATCAGTAGATGAAATGATATCGGGTTTTCTTCATACTAATGAAGGATGAGGGGAAGTAAAAGGAGGTATAGGGAAAACTCAAGTGGCTCTGAGTTCATTGTTGAAGCTGTGTGATGGGTATATGGGGGGTTCAGTATACTCTTCTGTCTGATTTTTGTATGTGTTTGAGAGTTTCCACAATTTAAAGTTTTAAAAGCAATTATTTTTAGCAATTAAAATCCATTGGATTCTCTCTAACCCAATTATGAGGATGTAATAACTGTCCATTCACTCGAAATGCCAAGGGAATGAATGAGCTAGGAAGAGAAGTTTATTGCCCTTATTTCGTAAGGGGGACTTGTGCCCCATCCACCCTGCTTGGGAGGGGCCCCTGCAAGGTTCTGAGACAAGCAACCTAGTTCTAAAAGCCCATCGTATTCTACATTATCAGCCAAGGGGGTCATCTCACACCTAGCTCTAATATTAATGGTCCCTCAGATCTGGCACTGGTCCTTCTAGAACCAATTTCCAGACAGAAATGAAGTGCGGTGCCTGACACAGCTTTGAGTCAGCGCACCCTAAGTTAGTGTCCTCGCGTGCAGGATCTGCGCACTTGGACAGAATTCAGCTGTGGTCGTCATTTCAACAATGGAGCTAATTTAAGCCTGTCCCTGCAGCACTGGGAAAGTCATTATGAAATACAAGTGCTCAAACTGAGAGAAAAGACAGCGTAGTCACTGAGCAGCAGTTGCTGATGAGTTCAGCCAAACATGAGAGGAATCGAAATAAGGTGCCCAGGCTAGCTTAGACACGTTTCCACACCTTTTCACGTGGGGGAACTCTTGCGGGGGGGAGGGGGTTCCTGCCTCTGGCATCGTGTCAGCAGAGACCGCAGGCAGCAGGGCAGAGACCTTTAAAGTTCCCACCCAGCCTGGCTCAGTGGGTGAGTGTCGACCTATGAACCAAGAGGTTATGATTTGATTCCCGGTCAGGGCACAGGCCCAGGTTGTGAGCTCCATCCCCAGTGCGGGGCCTGCAGGAGGCAGCCAATCAGTGATTCTCTCGGATCATTGATGTTTTTGTCTCTCTCTCCCTCCTCCTTCCTCTCTCTGAAATCAACCAGTAAATATATAGAGAAAAATTAAAGTTCCCACCCACCATCAGTCATGTTTTCAGGGGCCCGCGAGAGTGGGCTAGCTGAGCACTGTGATGTGCAGGAAGGCCCTGTGCCAGAGCCCAGCTTCTCTGTGGTGTGAGAGCGTCCGCACCAGAACTAATCAGACCTCTGCTGCTTTTCCGTTCATGCCGGCTGTGAGCGCCTCCTGTCCGCGGATGTGGCCTGCCGCGGTGACCTCTCACCCTGCCTGCTTCCTGCCCGTTATTTTTCAGCAGCCGCCGTCCTCCAGTGGCAGCGTGTTCGGGTCTGGCAGCGCTGGAAGAGGGGGAGGTTTCTTCAGTGGCCTTGGAGGGAAACCCAGCCAGGACGCAGCCAACAAAAACCCATTCAGCTCGGCCAGCGGGGGCTTCGGATCCACAGCCGCCCCAAGTAAGTGGAGAAAGTTCTCCCAACCCCGCCACCCCAAATGCCAGTGCCATCCTCGTGGTGTTACCAATGTTTCGCTGACAAGTATAGGACAGAAAGGTCTAGAAGGGCCTTTTAAAATACCTTACCCCCATGGCTTCTTGGCCTTTGACCTAAGATCAAGTGTAAAATATCTCCCCCAAGGCAGTGTGATCTGTTGGATATTGGGTTTTATTTTTGTAATATTAAGGTTTTCTTCCTTGAATGTTTATGTGAGTTTTTGTAATTGTTATGTATAATTCTGTTTAATAGTTTAAGGTCTAAGAAATTACATATACTGAAGTTGTTTCA